AAGTTGACAATATACTATGGTCTAGCTATTCGCAGAAATCTTAATTCCATAGAAGATATGAGACAAGAAATATGGGCGACTTTATTTCACAAGATTTCCACGGACAGCGAACCGCAGCACGACCGTTGCCCAGTCGGAGAAAACTCTTGGTGCTCTTGGCAGCAGGCGAAAGCGCACAATGAATTACATGAGTACCAACACAAACCAGCTTTGAATAGTGAAGTTTTTAAAGCTATTCAGCCAATTTACGAAGAACTGAGTCGAGACGAATTGCTGTCCCGCTGTGTTGGCGGGTTTACCCAAAACAGCAACGAGAGCTTTAATTCTGTGCTGTGGGCAATAGCACCAAAAACTGTTCATAGCAGCAAAGCAATCGTTGATATTGCCGCAAATATTGCTGTTTGCAATTTTAACGATGGTTTGCACAGCATAATGGAAATTATGCAAGTATTAGATTTAATAATTGGATCTACTTGCTACAATTTCTGCGTTGAAACAGACGAACGCCGGATCCGCGCAGCTGAACGCGCCATGACTAAGGAAGCTCAAGAAGCTCGTAGGCAGCAGACATCAGCTCGGAAGGCCGCAGATGACGAGTATATGAATGTAGAAGGTCAACTGTATGGTGCAGGCATTGCAGATTAACGGTGAGCTCCTAATAATTACATGTTTTCTCGTTGCAAAACTTTAAACGCAATTTCTGTAAAACACCATTTTTCAAATTGGTGTGCAGCGTAGCTCCTACAATTTACATCGGATTGACTTCAAACAAAGTTTATTCTATGCCAAATTAAATGTTTTATAGAAGTACGTAGCCGTTTTTTAATAGGATTGTTAGTTTTTGGGGGGGAACCAGTTTTATAACGATTTTTCAGTGAATATTTGTATACTTTTCTTCAAATTGGTGTAAATTCCACAAAAATTAATATTTTTGAAAAATCCTACGTACTTCCAAGGCAAATTTATCAGAGAATATGAGGTGTTTTGAATTTTTGTTCTATGTCATACCAGTCAGCCGGAATCCTGCACACCGATTAGACCGGCATAGCGCAAAGGGTCATCTTTGGCGCCATCTACAGGACGCTCTTTAAAGTATTTTCTAATAAAAAAAATATATTTTATAACTAGAAACTATAATAAAATCAACCCTCAAACCCGTTTTTTGATTACTCTATTCCTTAGATGTGAAAAAAATTAATGAAAAAGAGGAAAAATTTCTTACGCAAAGGTGTTATACCCCCTTAA